TCTCTCTCTCTCTCGTTCTCTTTCGTTCTCTCTCGCACTCTCGCTCTCTCTCTTTCTCTTTATCTCTCTTTCGATCTCTCTCTCTCTCTCCCTCTCTCACTCCCTGTCTCTCTCTCCCTCTCTCACTCCCCTCTCCCTTTTTCTCTTCAGGGTGTGTCTCTCCCCTACATCTCAATGAGTGCGCGATGTCACGCGTGTCTGTCTTCCTTCTCTTGTCATAACCTCATTCTTCCAGATTTGGCCGAGCAACAAGCCCAGCCCTCACCCCGAAATCATGTTAGTTTAAGGATTTCTGTCAGCCGTTTTGGGGAGTTACAACCACTAGTCTCATAACGCAGCTAACATCCTCTTTCTCTCCCTCTCTTTCAGATAAACGTGTTCCCCCCCGGCTGACGTAGACTTCGAGGAATTCTGACGTCAACACACAAAGTCGCACAGGGGACGTTTTAGGGAGAAAAAGACAACAAGTAATCCTGTCAGTGCGATGGGGAATATCGACCTCTGCTGTTCCGTCTCCGGAGGCAGGGCAAGACAGTGGAAGCAGCGAAATCAAGTTATGAGAACGGGCTGCTTGAGTGAATAATGCAAAGATTAAGTTTCCAGTGTGTTCAAAGTAATCAGTATCAGAAACTCCTAAATCTTAAAGTGTACAATATTCCAAAGGGAACCCGAGCATCCTGAGACACATTTTTAACAGACTGCCCTTACGTTTCTAGACCATAGCTTCTGTCTTGAGCTTACATTGTACCAATAAAGCTCTCTCTTTTGTTTCAGAATATTTCGTTGCAACACTAAAACTGACAGCCTAAAAGTACCATCTGCTTTAAAAAGACCTGGGGAAGACGCGAAACCTTCGATAGGTGTGTACATTTGTATGAAATTTGATATTTTAACGTAAGGATAGGTTGTCATCATTCATCCCTCTGAAAGCCTTCTTGGAGTATTCCCAGAAGTCATTAATGGAGACAGCAGCCTAAATCTCTTTCAGACTGCCATATAAATCTGAATGTTTTGGACAGCCGATTTTTTACCAGTACTGGGGGAATAACTTTTGTCTCCGTTGTAACATCTGAGCTGCCGGTTTCCAAAACGGGTTTTCTCCCAAGGTCAACAGAAAGCAGCCCACGTCACCATGAGGCACCATATACGAAGCAGCACAGAACATCGTCGCAAATCGATCGGGAACGCAGCAGCCGACCCGTCACTTTTGAATGATTCTCATCTCAAAGATCGAAAGTTTTCTCTAGCGTCAAATAGTCCAGACAGCTCTTCCGGGCAAAAGATTCTTGGTGGAAAGCATCACCCCGGAAATGGGAGATCATTTTCCCTCTCTGGTTTGATCTCGCGCAGACGTTCTCTTCCCGCCCGTGCGTTTTATGGCACGAAAATATCGGAAGCTCGCAGATATTCTGGTCCTGGGGAACCGGATGGCAGGAACCAGGAACTGAATTTTTACAGAATTAAAATTCTTGTCGTCTGTTTTATCCTTTTCCTCTCACTCGCAATGCTATTCTTGTTTATCAAGTCACATAAAAATAGCTTCAATCTCAAGGACTGGTTTTCTTTGGAGCCTTCTTCAGCTTCAAAGGCCAAGGAAAATGTGGATTAATAATTGTGATCTGAGTAATTTATTCTCCAAAATAAGTTCCTGGTGTTTCAAACTGAGCAGAGGTCTTCCGTAGACACAATAATTTTGTCTTTGCTTTTAATGAGGGACCAAATGTTGTCTTGTGTTTACATTTCGGTGTCGGTGCGTATTGAATTTTGAAATGCACAAAATCAACTTTTATCATCCCAGTAACGTTTTTCTCTCGCCCTCCTCTCCTTTTTTTTTGGGGGGGGGGGTTATTCATCTAGCACCTGTCTGTCTTCCCCCTATTTAACTTTAACCCCCTACTCTTGTATTTTGCCAGATCGTCCCCCTCTCCACCCTCCCCCCACCCCCAC